GTAGATAGCGATGGTATTAATCGTACTTCGGACGTAGACGTTTAGTACAAATTATGAAGAACCGTACTAAGCACTAACCATTTTATCCACATAGTGTGAAAGTTTTAGAAGAAGAACTATGGAGAGAAATTCCTCCTCCTGTGGAGCTTACGGGGAACCTTGGCTGACTTGTTCGGAGCCCTCAATTTCCTACTATCACTGTCTTTTCTCTTAGATTCTCTCAACCTGTGTGAAATATAATATAGATACTGAACGAGCTCAAACCGAGACCTAATTGAGCGTCTAAGGACTACTTGTTTTTCGGGATCCAACTAAGAGTCTCCGGGAAAAAATTTCTACTTATTCGACTGTCTTTTGTTCTGTACGTAGAATTCTATCAACCTGTGTAAAATATATTATATAAAGATTACCCTGACGAGAAACGCAATACAAATCCTCCGGACAGATTTTGCAAATAGGAAAAGTAGACTGACTCGAAGTAATCTCTTAGACCGACATAGTCGAAGTTTCTAAGAGACGATGAAGGTCAGACGAAGTAATTGTGGAGTTGTTTATTTTTAAAGTTAGGCTAACTATTGTACCATAAAAAAAAACCGGTTACTGCAGTCACAAAAAATGCCAAACCTTAGTAATTTGGTTTTTCGACAATTACCTTATTATGCCTCAATTTTCCCCGTCGTCAGAACTTGAGCAGTATGTACAAAATTTACACAAAATATACTCTCAGCTCGAAGAATGTGAAAACAAAAAATTAGATATGAGGAATGTTTGTACTGTCCCCCCCCCCCCCCCCCCCGGCTTGTCTCATGTCTTTGTGGTCCTTCATTGTAAGACTGTTCTCCCCACTGGGAAATCCGGTCGTCCGATGTACACTCTCACTCCCCCACGGTGCTACAGAGGGTGTCCTTATAAGGAGCAACGCACACTTGCGACTTCAGACTACAAAATACAAAGTACTCGCCCCAAACCAGTCAATGCGACCAAAGGCCCTACAATCCCTTGAGCAAGAGCGAGCGAGGTTCGTCTGCCCCAGAGCCGCTTGAGCACGAGGCCCCTATTGCAAGTGGACAGACCCGAGGTGGAAAGGAGTCTCGATTGGAACGCGCCCTCTCTCCCTTCTCCCCCCGCCCCTCCAATAAACATCCGGGAATGAGTCAGTTGACACACACAAAACGCTTCCACAACGCAGATGACGGACAGTCCGGTCGCCTACAATCCAACAAGTAATGTGACACTACCCGGACGATATCACTAAGTCTCAACTAATTAAAATTTTTTACATACACTTATACCTGTTACGATATTGTAACAAGAAAGAAGGAGGTTAGAATTAAATATTAGGTTATTTATTGACCATACATAACATATGAGCCGTTTTTGACCTAGTACTATAAAACCCATCGTTTTACGTAAAATGTCGTTAGGTTCTCGGTACACGTCCTTAGGACTTCAGTCTACGATTAAGGAAAATTCTGGAAAAAATTCTGGGAAGAGGTGTGTAAAATTCTGGAGTAGCGGTGAACTCAAATATTGCCAATGTGAACCGCGTGTGAATGGAGTTAACTTGATAATATGTCATAACTATACCGGGAAGGAGGAATAGAAGGTTGGTAAACCCTGCGGTCCCTGAACGTAAAGAGGTATTGCTACAACAAATTGTTGGCGCGTCATTTCGTCTGGAAGCGGCGCGATAGTTCGTCACTGGCAACGCTACAGGAAAGTCTACTGCGAGTTTAGGTTGCCCTACCGTGAGTTATTTGATGTGTCTCAGTGTTATGCGTGGATGCGGTACTAATGTAAGTCCGTCTGACTCTTTTTGGAGAAACTCCTGGTAACTATATGAATACTTTTGTTCGGATGTTTTACATTATGGAACCTTTTACGGGCAAATTATGAAAAATTATCGTGAATTAAAAGCGGATTTAACTAAATAGTTGAAAACTTAGAAAAAATCTGGGGCGCCGTGAGGACTTAATCGATCCGATATTTTATCATTATAATCAACGGACTTTATTCGTTAATAAAAACTTTTTTTGTGATTTTATTATCTTCATATGACTTGGACTTAATTTAAATAATGTATTGTAGACGGACTAAAATCCCTCTTCACTCTTCAATAACTTCTCACTTTACTCTGTTCGGGAGTAAAATTCTTTTGGAGAAGATGAAATTTAATTGAAATCGTTTTTGTCGAAATACAAATTTTGTCCAAAAAGTCCTCAACGAGTGTTGTACAACTTCAATTTGTGTGTCTTATATTCTCTATCTATTACGCTTAGTGAGGTGTCATACATATAATCCCTCATTGGTGCCAAACTCAAATACTATTATATGACATGGGTAACTCACACCCACCTCCTCCCGCCGCCAACTTCCTCTCCGGTGTCAACGTCGCATACTAACCGACCAACCACACTTTTGGCAGGAAAGACCTAGGAGGGAGAAGGAAGAGGAGATGGACGAGGAGTGGCCTGAGTTTGTTCGACGTCGTCGTCTCCCTCCTTGTGTACCTCTGAAACTTTGTGTGTTGAGTGAAGCTGTATTCGTGTTTAATTACGGTGTAAATTTCGACTTTATTACCCAGGATTTTCGAGTTTAATCAATCGTAAACTCGAGATAAAAGGGGAACAAAGTTAAGTTAGCAAAAAACTTACCCAAAGACCAATCTTAGGAATCTTTTTTTACCGGACAACAATTGTGTTCAAATTCTCTTTAACATAACAAGATGATGTATTGTATAATAGTCACCTTGTGGGGTGCCAACTAAAGACTTCGAGATACACGGATTTTACAACCGACTTGGTTCACCGTTTACTAAGAAGCAATTTGTGGTAGCTAAAGATGTAATCGGCGGAAATCGAATCGCCACAACTGCACGTCAGTACACTGGAACTACAATAAGGAAATATCGGATTACAATCGAAAAATGAAGAATATCGTAAACACGAGTATTATATATTTGACACCGCAATTAATACACCTCTTAAGAACGACTTGTTTTACCAAACTCATAGTATTTATACAAACAATGTCTTAGAATGAAAGGACCGTTATAATGAAGAAACAACTCCCTCGGAAACGCTACGAATTGAAGATCCAGATAGATGTTTTAGTTGTAGGCACGTGTTGAGGTTATAACAATGTAGATCTGTAAATAGTCTACGAAGGGTGTTTCTGTTGTGTGGACACAAAACCTGGTCTTGTGTGAGAGGAGGTAGACACCTAGGTGTAATATCTACATCTCTGTGGGCAGACTCTGCGATGGTCGTCCGCCCCCCCCTCCGAAGACTTAGCCGACTGTTTGTTTGTTCCGTGTTCTACAATTTCTGAATATTTATGTAGACATTTTTAGTGAGGGAGAGACCAGCTGAAACCTGAGTGGCATCGGTCCCGCGTCTACAAAAGTCCGGGCTTGTACAAATCGGTGTGCACCGCTTCCGAAGCCAGGACTACCCGATACAAGCTCTGTGGACCAAATCCGGTCCATCCACGACCGCGACGGCTCTTGTAAAATGGGTACATCCGACTGGTACACCCCCTAGGAGTAGAGACTGACCGCCTTGTTGTACCCAGTACCATCTCTCTACCCCCTCTCTAATTTGGAGGAGAAACAAAACAGTGTGCACGTGTGTCACGTCGGTGTGTGTCGTTTTACACTGGAGACGTAATTGGGTAGGATCGTGACCTCGTAATCGGTCTCCCATAAGTCGTAAAAGGAAGACACTTGGTACGTTCAAGTTCTCTTCCGTTACATACCCTTCGTCTAAGGAATATGTCTCTTTATGTGCCCATTATACGAAACTTGTATATATTGTCCCTAGGTTTTATTATGTAAAAATAAACCAAAATTACTTTCATGGTCTTTGTGATTGTAACATATGCATCGAACCAATCAGTCATTAATCAAACTAGATGCTTTTGTTCGTCTTTATGTTGACAACCACAATCACACATACACAACACACACACACACACACACACACACACACACACACACACACACACACACACACAACCACACACACAACACACAACACACACACACAACACACTACCACACTGATGGACCCCGACACCGACGAGGTCAAATTTATATACCTGCCAGAGTCACAATGACCTCGCGTGTCCTTGACCCGCAGTTTAATCGTGCAGACGCAGACTTCCTATTACTCCGACTACGATTGGTATAGACTCTGTCTTTTGTTTTTTTTGCAATCCTTATTTACGTGTAAAATCTAAACTTTTTTACTTACAACATTCGGGTATTGCTGTGTATAATATCGGCATACATCTGAACATACAGCTGCAGAGCCACTATTTCAAGTATACTACGTCATCGAGTGGCGCCGAATGCTGGGCATTTAACATGCATTTAAACAGTCCTTCAGCGCCACTCGATGACGTAGTATACTTGACCTATACTTAGGTTTACTCGACATTGAGAAACGGCCTATATCTTTGCTCTGCTTGTTTGAACATGTCCTGCTGCATGTGGACATCGAATCTCCCCAAAAACCACTTCTGCAAACAAACAGCTGATCACATCGTCTGTGTGCTATTGTGTGGTGAGTGTTGGTTTCCCCAAACTCAACTATTATGCTTTTTTGAGTTTTCCCTTGTAAATGGTCAGCAAAGGCTAAAAGGCAGGTTCATAATTGTATGTAGTGTCTCTACTGTGACACGTCTCCATGCTTTAATGTCCAAAAAGCTCTTTATTTTTCTCATACTGCCTGTGCTGCAGCACCTCTTCTCACCCTCTGTCTGAAACCAGAGCCCAGTCTGCTCTGATTGGTTCGCTGGCTGGCTCTGTTTTGATTGGTCAACTGCTTTGAGATGTCTCGCCCCTTAGCCTCTCACTTACGATGTGTTGGAGCACTAGCCAATAGAAGCACAGTGTTACATAGTGATGTCAGCATGTCCTGGAAATAAACAAAAGAGTCCAATGGAGGCGTTTTCAGGCAGGGGGGAAGTGTGTGGGAGAGAAACTCCCTCTTGATGGACTTATTTCAGACTTGACATGCACAAAAACCTATATAAACACACTACAGGAAAGGGAAAACCCCCAAAAAGCTAACTAGGGCCTCTTCAGATAAAACTCTCCCCCCTCAGCTGAGTGTTTGGCAGACGGTGTGTTCAGGGTCACAGCGGCAGACGGTGTGTTCAGGGTCACAGCAGGGTGCTGCTGATGCGTCGGTGCTGTAGTCGGCTGCGGACACTGACTTGTCGTTGGCGATGTCCCACAGAAGCTCCTCCCTCCTGCGGGCCATCCTCTGCGCCACCGCCTGGTACTCCAGTGTTTCTGTATCCAGAGGCGTCTCCTCAGACTCGTCGACCTCAAGATCAAATATCAGGGGCGGGTCGTGGAGCTGCTCTCGTCCTGTGGCCCCCCCACACGCCTCTGCGGCCCCTGCAACAAGCAAGGATGAGTGGGTTTCTTATTACTACTGGGGGAGGAAGGATTCAGAGCCTTTAAATGTAACTAGTATCTCTTTTATTTGTTGTATTTAATTTTTTACTGAACATTTTAGTTTATCTTTTCTTAAGGAGGACATTTAACTTTAGCTTGCCATGTTGATATAAATATTGGTTTTGTTATTTTTTTTAATAATATATTTTATTGGATTAAAAAAAAATATTTGACCTTTTATTGGGCATTTTACTTAAAATTCTTATATTTATATACTAGTTTTTTATTTGATATTATCTTTTATTGGACATTTTATTTTAACTTTAATTTGCATTTAATTATCATTTATTTTAGTTCACCTAAAATGTCACAAAACCAAAGAGACAAGTAGTAAGTCAAAGGCTGCATTCAAAGAAAAGGACTCAAGTGAAGAACCTCAAATTAGCACTTGTTTTGAGTTGATGGAGCATGATGCTGATATGAGAATTCATCTGCTAATACAAGACAGACAGGCCAATACACTGATACCACCATGTTGACAAAGCATCCACCATGGCAGAGCAAAGCAAGCACCACTGCAGACATACATACAATAACAATAACTGCAATGTTATACAACTGCTTTTGCTTTGTAGACACATATGACCTTGTGTGTGACCCGGGCCGTACCTGTGATGTAGAAAGCTTTGTGCTTCCCTGATCGAACGGTCTGCAGGTCACCAAACTCCCCCGCTGCTCCACTGTTAGGGTGGAAGAGAAACTACAAGGCAGAAGAGAAGGACGCAATGAGAACATAATGCAAGACTAACACTCACAATACACAGGGAAATTATGTATAAAACAAAAAAGAACGTATAACGAAAGCTGTTAGGTACCTCATGACCAGTCTGTTCCCCGTGCAGCAGGACATCTGTGGCGTCGATGCCGTCGTAACATCGGTCTGAGGGGGGAGTGACTCCTGCCAGGGACAGAAGGGTGTGGAAGATGTCCATACCGCTGCAGCAGGACGTAAAGAGGACTGTTAAAAAGGCCCTATTCTGCTAATTATCAGGTTTACATTTGTATTTTGTGTCTCTTCAGTGACATGTTTACATGCTAACCTGAAAGTCAGAGCCACTCCCTGCATCAGAATATATACGAGAGATGGTTATTTGACTCATTTCAAATCATTTCACAATCTCTGCGTCCCCCCCTGAGGCAAGCACACCAACAACAAATTCATATTTGGATAAAAGCCAAACATGCAGCGGCTATTGGGCTTTTTTCTCTGGGCCAAAGTGTAGGAATGACATTACCATCCCCTGCCTTTTGACTTAGTACAAACAGGGTTGGGCCCATCACACCTTGGTCTTTATGTACACATAAGGTGTATATAAGATATGTTGAACTACTTGAAGGATTTAAAGTCTCTGCTTATTTGTAAAATGGGAGTACCTGAGCAGGGCGGAGCTGCTGGTGTTTGCAGGGATCCTTCCGGGCCAATAGGCCACAGTTGGCACTCTGTGACCCCCCTCCCAGGTGGTCCGCTTAGCCGAGCCTCCACCTAACACAGGCAGAAGAGGACTTTAGGAATGAGGCTTACTTTCAACAAAACACACACGTGTTACTATGTATTGAACACATGGATCCCTCCTCATAAAGCATATTTAATACCTCTGCTGGTCTGCCATGTTCCCATAAAGGGTCCAACACTTCCTGCATACTGGCACTTCTGTTCCCATGGACCGTTGTCACCTGGGAAAAAAAAGCACAAAGATGAACCTCATCATGGCTTTTCGAGAATAACACTAGGGCTGAACGATTAATCGATTTTAAATCGAAATCGCGATTTTAAATGATGCATTTATCAAATCGCAAAGCCTGCCATTTGTTTTACTTCTTGTGTGTCAGTCATCCACACCAATCAGAAGTGCTGTGCTCCACATGTACCAGTCATTGTTAACCAATCAGAAGTGGCCCATGATAGAAGGTGATGGACAGATTGATCCACCTACAAAGTATTTTTGAAAGTGCCTGCCCTTTCCAAATGGCTTCCAATGGATCTTTCCGAGATGGTTTGGTGAAACAAACCGTCTGAGTCAGGTTAGTAATGCTCCATCACATGTTTCTATTACAGGGTGAGTCTTAAACTGAAGCTTGACTTTAAAGCAACCCAACGGAAGTTTCATGTAAGTTTAGTTCTTTCACTCGTAGCTCGGGCTGCGGGGGTGCTAGAGACGGGAGCACGTTGATGCGACCTTCCTAGCCGGAGTTATGGCCGCATTTTACAATAAACTTCCGTTGGGTCGCTTAGAAACAAATATCGCAAATCAAATCGCAATATCTGTCAGAAAAATCGCAATTAGATTATTTCCCCAAATCGTGCAGCCCTAAATAACACTTCAGTCTATCCAGTATATTTACCAGTGAACCAGATGAGTGTGTTGTCTCTGTCCGTGTGGTCGGAGGCGCTCTTCACCGCCCCCACCAGGCCGTCCATCTCCTGCAGGCTGGCAGCGTAAACTCTGCCCTCATCTGAGTGGAGAGAGGGGGCGAGGGGGACGTGCATGTGAGCCAACGCTAGGTAGAGGAGGTAGGGCTGCCCTCGCTCCCTGCAGAGACAATAAAGTTGTGGTGTCAAACAACTCATACAGATGATAAAGTATCACACACTGGTTTAAAACAGAGCCCACTTCTGTCCCAACAGTGCAGATTTCTTTCAAACGTTTTGACTTGAGCAAATTAGCATGGGGGAAACTTTACCAATTGCTTTGTCACATTTATACTTGAGAAACGACGATGTTAGTGGTACACCTATGCTTTTCCTTTAAACCTCAAAATAAATACATTTGTAATATTTGTTGCATTAGTTTCTTTTTAATATTGCTGTTGCAGTCAGAGCTGGAACGCGACCAAGCCCATGCGTTGGTGCGTTTTCTAGAAGAAATTAACAAGTTAGTGTAAAGCCTTATTGCAATAGTGATATCCTACAAGTTTGCTAATCAAACAAACAATACTGACATTTTGAACACAACATTTTCAATTTGGTTGAACTACTTTTTGCAGTGTTCTGATGGATTTAAAGTTAAACACTGCCTGGTAAACACTTTGGTTTATTTTGTGGGTTTAATCCTGTTCAAAGTGCACTGATATGCAAACTTGAACATGTCCATGAAGCAATTTCCTTTTGCTTTGCAGGAAGGTGGGTTTCTGTACGTTCACTGAATGAAAGCCAGTTCACCGTTAGGTCACATGACTGATAACCACTGCACTGATTCACATGACCCTGCTCCATGCAGAGATATTGACTCTCACACACACAGCTGCAAACAGCAGGGATTACTGTCCTTCATTTCCCAAGCTTTCTGCTTTACTTCATTTTGATGAAAATAAATGTACATCAAATGTTAATATCTTCTAAAATAAAACAAAAAGGAACCATATCATTGCTCTTAGGTGACATATTAACTCATTAAAATACATGACAGACCTACAGATTGGTGATCAAAGTCTAATTAAACTCTCTGCACTTCCTTATTTCCCATCATGTGTTAATGTTCATGCCTCTGGATTGCAATCAATTAAAATGATAAATTACAAGTGTTAACACATTACAGTAGCTGCAGCTGATTCGCCTGCTCTTCCTATCTAATTTCCCCAAATGGACCCAAGTCCAAGTGTGTCCTCAGGTAATAATCCCATAATGCTCATGTCTGTTTACTGATAACAGCTGCAAACGGGCAAAAAGACTCCAAGCTGTTGTAAACAGAGACAGCTACAGGCATGTAGCAATGTCATTTATTGCAGAGTGCTTGGGTCGCTGTTTCCTTCCCTTTTTGAAAAACTCATTTTAGTTCCTCAGTGTCGTCTCCAACACCACATTTGAGTTTCAGTCTCATACACACTTGACACACTGAGGCTATGTTCCTTTTTACTCTTGGTATGTTCTGCAGCCGCCCTTACAAAGAATGTTCTGTTTTTTAGGGTATACTATATGGTCATAACATTGCATTGAGTCGCTTTTACTCATTTGTGCAAAGGATTGTGGGTCAGAATAGCCAACACCTAATCCTCTACAATACATTAAAATTGACCTAAGTACCTAGATGTCCGTTGGATTGTCCAAACAGAATACAGTATACAATGTAACTCTTAGTTCCTTTAGTTACTACTGTATGTCTCTGATGCACTAAAGGTCACAGGCTTCTGATTTTCTAATTAACAGTTACACCTAACATGCTGATTTTTAATATCATATGAAGAAATTGAAACATATGCATGTAAAAGCACTAGGATGCAGCGGTGTTGTACCTTGCACTGCGTATAATCCTGGTAGCAGCAGATTTGTATTGCTCTGTTAGCGCCCACAGGTCCAGTGGCTGCTGCACAATGCTGCTGTTTTCAATCAGAGGAAGGCCCACTTTGGAGTAACAGCCTCCATGTGCACTCCTCTTAAGTCTATACAAAACATAGGAGCATAATAACATGATTAATGGGTACATGCGTATGTGTGTGTGCATGACGCTATTGTTGTGGTAACCGGTTTTGCAAGTGATTGAGATCAAAGCCACACCTGGTGACGTGAGGTTCAGGAGACTCACAGGGAGGACACTGAGGCAGATTATATCCAGGTATGTCAGTACAGCCCATGTCATTACTGTAGGGAATGCCCAGGTAGTAGTCAAAACCTGCGAAAAGGAGACAATAGACAATATGCACATCTTTATAATTCAGTGTAACTCTCTAATAAATACTGTATATAATCATGCTCTTTGGCGAAGGGATCAACTGGACGCGGAAACTGCCCGTCACCTTTAGAGGACAGAGTCACATGACAGTGTTCACACTTTAAAGGTCACCTATTATGCAAAATCCACTTCCTCATGTCTCTTCTACATCAACATGTGTCCCCTCTTCTTCATGTCTCTTCTACATCAACATGTGTCCCCTCTTCTTCATGTCTCTTCTACATCAACATGTGTCCCCTCTGAAAGAAAGAGATTCTGAAAGTTTCAGGAAAAAAGATTCTCTCTTTTTGTCCTGATCCATTTAAATAAAAACCTGTCTGAAAATGAGCTGATCAGATTTTGGCCACTTTATGATGTCATAA